TTTTTTTTTTAGTAGAGATGGGGTTTCACTGTGTTAGCCAGGATGGTCTTGACCTCCTGACCTCATGATCCGCCCGCCTCGGCCTCCCAAAGTGCTGGGATTATAGTTGTGAGCCACGGAGCCCAGCCCTTCTCAACCTTTAAGTGTTTACTTAAGGGACACTTCCTCTGGAAAGCCTTCCCTGGCCTCCCAGTCTAAAATAGGTCTCCTCTGTTCTGTCTCATGGAATTAGTTTCTTTTCCTTTCCAACATACAGCCCAGTTCGTAATTATGTATTTTTTGTGTTTTGATGTGTTTGATGAACGTCTTCTCCAACTAGAAGTAAACCATATTTATTAAATAACTGCATAATCAGTGCCTCGCTCATTGTAGATGCACATTAAATATTTGGCAAAGGAATGAATGAAAGTCCACTGTGACTCTACTGATTTCTTTCATAGCCTTCTCTGTAACTGTACTGATCGGTTGTGGTTTTGGTTGTTAGATTGTCGCCTGCCCTGACGGGCTTCCTCAGAAGATGGCACCACCTGGAGCAGTGCAGGAGTCCTGCAGTCCCCAGTCCCTGACCGTGGACACCCAGCCAGAGCAAGCGCCACAGAAGCCTCATCTCCTGGAGGAAAATGGTGAGGCTCAGTGATGCAGTGGAACAGATAGAGCTTGAGAATGGGTGTCTTGGCCATGTGGCAGGCACCATCTGCAGGAGAGGGACTCTAGGCTGAGCAGCCTCTCTATAGCCTGCAGGGTCTAGAAGCAGAGAAAGGCCAGGGACCTGGAGTTGAGTCCCTGGTGTTCCATGAAAGCCATCCCTAGGATGTCTAGGAATTACACCAGTTTCATTAAAAAGCTACAGTGCAAATGATGACAGCTCTGGGTACAGGGACTGTTAAAAGATCTACAGGTCTTTTACAAAAGTATCACAGATTTTTGCTTCTCTGTCATAGATTGTCTTTCTTTTATTTTTGAGATAGAGTCTCGCCCTTTTGCCCAGGATGAAGAGCAGTGGTATGATCTTGGTTCACTGCACCCTCTGCCTCCCAGGTTCAAATGATACCCTCACCTCAGCCTCCCGAGTAGCTGGGACTACAGGTGCCTGCCACCATGCCCGGCTAATTTTTGTATTTTTAGTAGAGATGGGGTTTCACCATGTTGGCCAGGCTGGTCTTGAACTCCTGGCCTCAAGTGATCCACCTGCCTTGTCTTCCCATAGTGCTGACATTAGAGGTATGAGCCACTGTGCTCAGCCTCCCTCACAGATTTTCTTGTCTTAATGCTTATGTTAAAAAAAAAAAAGCTCCCCAGTTCCTAATTGCATTTATTTCTCGCTGCTCATTCACTCACCTTGAAATCTAACTTAAAGTAGCTTTTCACAGTGACCTTTAAAACATTTATTCTCTCTTTTTTCCTCTCCTCCTCAGTTTTATTAACCGGTCTTAGACACACATCAAGTTAGAAAAAAGGAACAGCTGAGTATTATATTATGATGTGTTCAGTCCCTAATCAGAAGCCCTTGGTGTCAGATATATTTTAGAATTCAGCATTTTGCAGATTTAGTAAGGTAATATGATTTATTTTATTTTAATTTTTTTTGGATAATATGACTTATATACCACACATCAAACTAGCAACAGGGTTTGAGTTGGTACCTGTAACCACACACATTAATATTTCTGCAGTGAAATGTGTGCATTTTTATACTAAGTTTATTAAATAAAGGTTTAAATACCTTCACATCAGGTCAAATTTTGCTGTCAAATTAGTTCAACGCCTAAGTTTAATGAAAGGAAAGGAACACCTTTGGTATTTCAGCTTTCAGATTTCAGCATTGTGGATAAAAGACTGTGGATAAGGGACTGTATTTTCTCGGTTTAATTCCAGACTTCTAGGCTCCGTTTGTTGTCAGGTCTTTCCCTTGACATGTGTCCCTGCCGTAATCATTTCCAGCTTTCCTTTCGCTGTGATAAAAAAAGAACAGCAGCAGCAGCAGCGATGTGGCTTCCATAGCATGTGCTCTGTGCAGGAACTGTTCTAAGTATTTTCCCTAAAAGCACTCATTTAACCCTCAGTGTACCAGGAAAATTAGATCTCATGGTTGACCCTGTGGGGCCAGTGAATCCTTCTGATTTTTTTTTCTATTTTATTTGTTTTATTTTATTTTATTTTTCCTGAGACGGAGTCTTGCTCTGTCGCCCAGGCTGGAGTGCAATGGCACGATCTCGGCTCACTGCAAGCTCCGCCTCCCGGGTTCACGCCATTCTCCTGCCTCAGCCTCCCGAGTAGCTGAGACTATAGACACCCGCCACCACGCCCAGCTAATTTTCTGTATTTTTAATAGAGACAGGTTTCACCATGTTAGCCAGGATGGTCTCGATCTCCTGACCTCGTGATCTGCCCACCTCA